GGGAGAGTGGAAAGGAGAAGTTCCTGGTGCTCTCGAAGAGGAAGGGGGACAGATGGAGAAGGGTTTTTGTCCCTGAAGGTTTACAAGCTAGAGGATGGTAGGGGTTACTAGAGAAAGTTGGCCAACTCCTCCGAAAAACAAGTGAAACTGAAATAGGAGAAGGAATTTTAGGGTACGGGAGGGCTGGAGAAAGAATGACAAGAAGTGACTTATTGCAGGGTGGCGTGCTCAAGTTGCAAGGTGGAGTTATGTGTTCAACTGGAAGTGGGGCTGTTAAGATCATTTGCAAGCATGGTGAAGGAGGCAAGTGTTGACCAGAAGCCGGTAAAAGGAAAGGTTCAAATTACATACAGGTTCGGTTGCTTTTGGAATTCAAACTTCAGACCCAGTGAATCAGTTGGCAAGCCCGGGCCTGTCTGTTGGGGTCATGCACAGTTTGAGGAGAAGGAACGAAATTAGACTCAAATGATTTAGTAGAGCAGGAAAAGGAAAATGTGCTCGGGCTTTAGACCCAAGCCTAGCTAGAGAAAAAAAACCAGGTTGGTTGCTAAAAAACATATCGCATTTAGGAAGACAGACGCAGAGGAGAGGGGACGTTAAGTGGCCTCTGAGATGTCATCCAACAAGGAGGATCTAACCAGTGGACCAGGCAAGATTAGTCAACAAGTTCTGGCTGACTTTCCAGGGACAGTTAAAGAGAAGGTGCAGAAGGTGCAGATGCGAGGTCAAATGATGAAGTTGATGGTGATGGCTGGCTTTCCCCAAAGGAATTCCAGTTGGTTTCGGTCCTGACCAGGAGGTGGGCAGTGTGGGGACAGTCGGCAGGAGGAAGCTGATGCGAAGAGGAAGGAATTGTTGGCGGTGGTGGGGGATAGGCATGATATGAATTCTTTATGGATTTTGAAAATATTCAAAACATTAATTCTGTAAGGGCCTTAAGAGGTGTAAGGACTAACCTGTTGAATTATTCAGGGCCTTCTTGCGTAGAAGTGAGGCAATTTTCAAATGGTACAACGAATGTTGGTTTTAAAGAAAAGAATCAGAATAAGTAGGGAGTAAGAGTTGAAAAGGCTTCAATTGTCAGTCTATTATGATAGAAGTGGCAAAAGGGAGAAGAGTACAAGCAGAGATAGTAAAGCTTGATTAATGATTAATAAAAATGTATCATGGAATGTTAGGAGTTTGAATGATGTGAAGAAAAGAATAACTATAAACGGTTGTATTGGTAGGTGGATGTTGTTTACTTTCAAGAAACAAAAATACAAATCATTTATGATCTTGTGGTGCATTCTGTTTGGAGAATAAATGATGTGGATTGGAGATTCATCCATGCGCTTGGGCTGCGGGAGACGTACCAGTGATGTGAGATGAGAGGGATTTGGAGCTTAATAGCATTTTGGACCTATAATTGGTTTCTTGTCCCTTCAAGTGTAAGTTAAATGGATGAAGGAACATCTTTACTGGAGTGTATCGGAAGGATGAAGGAAAGGAGAGGGGTCTATTATGGGGAGAGTTGGAAAATATTTGTTTAGCTGGAAGATGAGCTGTCTCAAGAAAGGACGGAGGGTGGCTCTAATTAAAAAGTGTTTACATAACCTTCTTATTTATTTTTAACCTTGTTTCCTATTCCACCAAGGGTATAAGAGAACATAAGCCATCTAGTGGAGGCTCTTGTAAGAAGACTAGGATGAACATGGAAAATATCACTCGGTGGCAGGATGGTCAAACAACCATTGTGGCATATAAGGTGCCCAGCTACATTCAATAATGCTTTGTTGGCTGTTAAGAACAATAATTAGTTTGTACGTATGCAAAACTGTATTTAGCATGGTAAGATATTTTATAGATAATGTATTAAGTGTTGGTAGTTAGGAAGTTAAGAATAAGTTAACGTCAAGATAAAAATTAATAGTAATTAGATTCTGGATAAATTAGATGACTTCCAGATTAACTCTCTTTCTCCTCTTGTAATAAAAATTATTGTTGTCCTTTGGAGCAGGATTATGAATGAAGAAGTATTTGGGTATTGAGTATTTTCTTACTCAATAAATCATTAGGTTATCTCTTAACAAGCCCAACGATTAGATTCAAGATAGGTAAAGGAAGAAAATCTCATAAACGTTCTTAATTTCCTATTAATTTCTATGTCAACCACTGCATAACAAGACCCACCAATAAGGACCAATGAAAGCCAATAGCTATTGATGATTTATAGTCGATGTTTGAATCCTTATTCAAAACTCACCAAGAAGAAGCTGAACGTTTGGAGGAACTTTCCCCTAGTTGATCTATACGAAGGGAATCCAGAGAAGGAAGTGTACAACCGGTACAAGGAGATAGCAGGAATCGTCATCCCATGGCCAACAGAGAATGCCTTTTCATTCCTAGATACACAAAGTTGGACTTCTCTAAATTGATGAGTCCAGTTACGCATTACTATGGTTAGGGCATTGTGAACACTTCTTCCAGCATCAACTCACAGAAAAAAGGTTTTCTTGACTTCATTCATTTAGAAGCCAATGTCCAACTTTAGTTTTTGAAGTTAGAAGGTGAGAGATTTTATCTGTCTTAGCCGAATTTCATATATTTCTGTCAAATACGCTTAGGACCTCCGATCAGAAGCAATAAAGTGGGTGAACACAGTAAGTTGGGACAAGTGGGAACAACAGCCGAGTACTAAAGACAGTATGAAGATGTTTTCTGCACAAGCAAGTGCTTTAATGTCAGAACAGGAAGTAGAAACTTTTTAAGTAGTTTGAAAGATTACATCATAGTGGAAGTGGAGTTGCAAAATCCGCATGATTTGACAATGATGATTAGTCTCACGTACAGAACAAACAATAGCCCTCTCAATTCTCCATCTAATCTGCCTCAATGTGACACCCTTTTTTGTCAAATGAAAATATTCCTAGATATCATCCTCATTTATCTTGGTGTCAGGAGGTGAAACAGTTGTCAGCATCGGAAATGGATTGTCAACTCTCACAGCAGCTTTGTTTCAACAATGATGAGAAATTTGAGTTCGACCACCATTATAAATGTCTTTCTGGCTGGAAATTGAGGACCCACTGCTGATTTTGACATCATACACCCAGAAACACTAGAAATTCATAAAGAAGATAAACCAAAAACTAGCCAAAATTTCTCATGCAAAAATTCACTTTTGGCCTGAGAACAAGTGCAGTTCGAAGGAGGTAAGTGATGTTAAGGCCATGAATAATTAGTTTGTATTTAGTATGGTAAAATATTTAAGCATATTTAAGTGTATTTAGTATGGTAAAATATTCTGTAAATTATGTATTAAAGTGTTGGTAGTTAGTAAGTTAAGAACAAGTCAAGCATAAGACAAAAAAGTGGTTACTAGATTTTGGACAAGTTAGATAACTACCTCTCTCCTCTTGTAATAAAAACCTATGCTATTCTTTCGGATAAGAAAATGAATGAAAAAATATTTTAGAACGTTGAGTATTTTGTTACTCGAGATTATTGGATTCTCTCTTAACAAGCCCATAAATAAGAATTAAGATAAGTAAAAGAAGAAAATCTCATAAACAGTTTCAATTTCCTAGTGATTTCTATCTCAATAGACCCATAAGAAGATCCATCGATGGGGACTCTAGCAACAGCCAAGTTGCAATGGCAATTTATGCAAGATAAGGATATGATGTGGAGGGAAATTACTGTTGCCAAGTTTGGGTTGGCAGCCACAATGTGGTATTCCCAGAAGGGGGAGGTGCATATGGGTTCAGCCTTTTGAGGTGGATTGCCAGAGTTTGGTGCATTTCTCTTAACCTATCTAAATTCATTGGATAATAGTAACATGGTTAGCTTTTGGTATGACCATTGGTGTGGAGATGGGCCTCTGAAGGACAGTTTTCCGAACAATTTTGCAATGTCATATTCTAGGAGGTGAAGATCAGGGATTGTTTTTATGATATATAATAGCAGAAATCCAATAAAATGTCTCTCTCGTCTAGAATCTTTAAATGATTGGAAACTTACAGAACGGATCTTCTTCCTCAGTTTGGAAAAAGTCCCACATTAATCCTTCTGATGGTATTTCGTGGGAGCTAGCTAAGGATGATAAATTTTCTATAAAAAATTATAACCACCATCTTGTTGCTAACCCTGTATTAGATTTTTTCCATGCAATCAAATTTGAAAAACTAAGGTGGCCCCCTGCATAGCCTTTGTTGCGTCAGTAGACAACAAGAAAAGGATTTTCACTTTGTACAACATGATGATAAGAGGCAAATTTCTGGTAATAACGACTTTCTCTGTGACAATGACCGAATTCGTAGGCCATCTCCTTCTTTGATGTACTGAGACCAGAAGTCTTTGGAAATCTGCCTTTTCTATCTTCTTTTCTGGGTCAGGAACAACTCCATCGGAAATGAACTTTGGGCTCGGAATAGCTCCATTAAAGGATCAAAATCTTGAAAGTTAACGCAACATCCATACACTTTTTCTTTAAAGGAGTAAGGTGCCTAATAACCAACAATTATGTATGGGAATGCTACTCAGAAACCAAGTTGCCAAGAGAAAAGGTTCTAATCCAGTATATCGGTGTTGTATGAGCCAGTGGGAAGAGTGAACCAATCTTAAGGCCCAACATGTTGCAAGTTAAAAGATTACGAGAACACTTTTCCTTCAAGGAACTAAGGTGTCCAATAATTAACAAAAGTTCGTCTAAGAATGCAGCAAAGCGTTATCTCTCCTGTAAATATAGGAACTTGTTGTAGACATTTTACGTCTTCACAAAAGCTTGAAAGTTCTAATAATTGCTGATGTTATCCATTTTAAATAAAACAGGTCCATATTCAAATAGGTTTCAGAAAAAAAGTAATCAATTCCATACAGATTGCAAGGAAGAAACTTTTATCATCACTTACACATTAGGCACATCTCCTACATAGCAGAGAAAAATACTAGATGGGGCAAAAAAGAAATCAAGTATTTCATGCACATTCTTTTGAAAATCAAGTATTACATGTCTATACCTGATGGCCTTGGTCATCCATCGGTATGCATTCAACAGCAATCAATTTATCTACATCATCAGCAGTCACAACATACTCTGGATTTGTGGCTCCTGAATTATTTTAAAAAAAATGTCATCAGAAATTATTATTAATAGTAACAACTAGATATCAGATTTCTATGTATTAATAGCTTACCCTCGATGTACTGCCTGGTTCCATCTTGAAGATGACGAACCCACTAGTATACAGAGAAAAGATATGAGAGGAGATTAGACAGTCAAATCCCTTGTTTCAGGAGAAACGAACAAAGTTAGTCCAAAGCACAAAATAAAACGGAAGTCACCTGAAACATACAAAGTGTAGTCCCCCGCACAGGATACCCGCATCCAAGAAGTTTCTCTCCAGGGGTTGCATCACCAAAAATCTGAAATTCCTCAATACCCGGACCCTCTGAGAATTATTAAGCCATATTAGACTCTACTAAAACTCAAAAATATGTTTTACCAATTGAAACATCCATTGCCTTCTTTTCTTTCAATAGAAAAAGAAGACAAATTAAAAAGAAGAAAGGTAAAAAGAAGAATTATGTATCCTACAAAAGAAAATCAAACAAAAGAGAGACTAGCTACTCATCAGAGAGAATGGTCGACATGATTGCGCAAACATTATCTTTGGCTTTTAAGAGGCCAAAGTTTTCTTTGTTGGACAACTTTATTATTTGTTGGGTGGTTTTGTTGTTTGACTCTTCGAAGAGGATGTCTCATTCTCTGTAATTGTATTTTTTTCTCTCTCACTACTCAATAATCTTTTTCTTCTATCCCAAAAATATATATATAGACATATATACATATATATCAGTGTCCAAAACTGAATGGTTGAAGGAAAGCATTGAAACTTCTTACAAGTTGGCAGAGCACTTATATTCACCATGAATGTTACAAAATCCTGTTAAGCAGATGCAGTTCTATCGCCTGCCTATCTCATAAACTGTATGCCTTTAAAAACATTAGGTTTCAAAAGTCACTTGGAACTGTTGTTAGGTTCTAATTATTAAATTATTCCTCTAAAACTTTTTTGGTGTGCTCATAAACTGTATGCCTTTAAAAACATTAGGTTTCAAAAGTCTCTTGGAACTGTTGTTAGGTTTTAATTATTAAATTATTCCTCTCAAACTTTTTTGGTGTGCTCGTTTTGTCCATAAGAAGTTTTTTGGCAAAATAGAACCTAAGGCCATCAAATGTGCTTTTATCGAGTATTCTGCCACCCAAAAAATGCTACCATCCTCCCACTAGGAAATCCTATTATAGTGTGGATATCACGTTTCCAGAATTCAAGCCATATTTTCCTTTACCTCATTCACCTTTTTAGATGAGAGACTAAAGATGAAGAGGCAACTTTTCATATTCAACCTCCAGCTTTACATCTAGCTCCAATCTTAAGCAATGACAGTGACAACCTTGGTTGTAGCCTTGATTCTAACAGACTAGATAAATTGGATATAAGAACCTACTCCTGCAAACAGAAGGTTGTTAAATAGAGTTTAACTTGTCAAATACAAAACCTAGATTTAGTTTTGACGGGAAATGCCTGGTGAGCCTTTTCAAACTCTTGACTCCTCTAAACCATATAGTGATACTGATAATCTTGATATTCCCCCTGATGTTAGAACAAGGAAGCATACTTGCGCGAAACACCATTTTATCTAACTTTGTGTCATATGATTCATTACCCCCATCATATATAGCCTCTATGCCTTGTTTGTTTTTGTGTCTATTCTAACATGATCACTGAGAAGCTTTAATTGATCCTAAGTGGAGCAACTATGGATGATAAGATTAGAACTCTAACAAAAAATGAGATATGAGACTTGTTGATCTCCCGTTAAAATTTAAAAAAGAAAAATTGTGGAATGCAAATGGGTGTTTGTTCATCAAGAGGACATTTGACTCAGTTGCAAAAATAAACATCACCAGAATTCTCTTATCTGTACAACCAATAATAGCAGGAACTTGCAAGAACTTGAGGTCAAAAAAACCCTTGCATGGAGATTTCGACTAGGGTTTACCCAGTTCCTCCTAATTTTAAGATTGAGAATACTATGAGAAAGGTGTATATATATCGAAGAAAGCATTCTACGAATTAAAGCAATCTCCGGTACATGATTTACCAAATCACTAATACTATAACCTCTTTTGGCTACAAGCAAAGTGATGTTGCCCACACTTTGTTCTTCAAACACCAAGATGCAAAAACAATGTTGAGGATAAAGAAATCACTAATTTTGGAATTTGAGATCAAGGATTTGTGTAAACTGGGATATTTCCTTGATATTGAAAATTTGCTAGACCAGAAAAAGAAATCCTCATCTTCCAATGCAAATACATTTTGGATCTCCTCAAAGAGATAGGCATATTGGTTATAAACCAGATGATTCTCCCATTGAACCAAACGACAAACTGCAAGGTGGTATCGGTAAACTAGTAGGCATTCTGATATAAAAAATTGATAGGAAGATTAACTTGTCTCTCCCATATTAGATCCAGTATAACTTATGCTGTGAAGGCAGTGTGCCAATATATGCATGAGCCTCGAAAACCATATCTAAATGCAGTAATTGCATTGTGAGGTTTTTAAAGTCAGCACTAGGAAAGACCTATTTTTGTGGTAGCATGATCACCTCAAGATAAAAGATTTGACTTATCCAAATTGAGCTTGATCTCTTGATGATAGAAAATCTACATCGAGTTATTCCACACTTATTGGTGGAAATTTGATTACAGGAGGAACAAAAAAACATATTCTAGTGACAAGATTGAGTGCAAAAAGTTGAACACAGAGCTACAGCTCAGGAAGTGTGTTGAGTTGCTATAGCTCCAGAAATTGATAAATAAGTTGAAGTTATTGGTAAGAAAGAGTCTAGTACCATACAATGACAACAAGGATAGAACTAGTATCAGTTACAATCTAACTCAGCATGATAGAACCAAACACATTAAAATTAATCAACACTTCATTTAAAAAATTAACTATATTGCAGTACTCTAAATATTCATTATGTAAATTGCGAAAGGCATATTGCTGATGCTCTCGCTAAAAGATTGAGAATTAAGCAATTTCATGGATTAATTTGCAAAATGGACATAAGAGAGATCTAAGCACTATCTTGAGGGGGAGTACTGACTACTGAGATTTGATTCTTAGTCTGTGAGTAGTTCCTATTTAATTGAAAAGACATATATTTATAGTTTCCTTTTAAGAGCAATACGATCGTTTACAAACATATAAAGGAGTGTGATGGTAAGATATATAGAAACTCAAGTTCCTCTCCATGATTTACCATCTCCCTCTCCCTCTCCCTCTCTCTCTCCTTTGAACCTGAATTAAAATAAAAACTGATATAGAACAAATTATTTAAAATATTCTAGCATTCTGCTCCAATCAAATCAACAGCACGCCCAACAAAGAAAGCCCCATACTATAGAATTCCAAACTCCATCTTCATCCTCAGACCCGTCAGTACTGA